AGCGTGCGGAGCTCGCCGCCAGTGAGATTGAGCTTAAAGGTGCCGTGAGTGCTCCTCCGCGTGATAGCGGAAATATTTCTCTAATTCCTCCGGTCCAGCTTCTTAAACATGACCAACGACTTCCTGTAGCCTCTACGAAGTTAAAGGAAGAACCTTCTGATTTACAGGATTCGTTAGTTTCTTCTCGTTTAACTTCTGCACGTTTCCGCTTCTTAGTTATGGATGAGCATAATAGGCATTCTAAGATTCTTGATTCGAATCTTTCTTCTACTAATAATCTTTTTGCTTCACTACGTTCTCCTCTTTCCACCTCGAGGAGTTCACTTGCTTGGCCCGGTAAAGATTTTTCTACCCTTCCAGATGGTGTCCCTTCCAAATCAGGTAAATCACGCAGGCAATTGACTTCCTTGGATACTTCGTCGGCACGAACCCAGATACTATCCTTAGCGACACAGGCATTAAAGGACAATGATATTTATGTCGTTTCTGCACGCAACACAGCGCGATCGAACAAGGTTCCTTTAACAGAAAGCAAACCTCGGACACTCGCAGGTAGTTCCGCTTCTCATCCGCCCTCCCATCTGGGAGAGCCACTGACTCGGGAAGCCTCAAAGATCAGCGCTAAGGACGGTAATGGGAAGCAAGATCTCTACGCCAATATAGTTGCCGTGCTGCATGGCTTGAAGGATAGAATGGGTCGCTTGAGTGACACTGGTGAGGTGGCCAATGCTGCACTGGATTCTGCTTTGCGTGAGAACGAGCTGGCGGCCTTCCGTCGTTTGGAGCATGTGATACGGGACCTTAAGGTTGGCGCTGCCGCATCTAAGATGAGGAAGCCCTCGAAGCGTCACTAGTGTGGGTAGAAAAGTTTCTAAACTAATTCGAATGACACTCCTAAAGCGGATAGACATTGAGGTTTGATACATTTTAGAATGTTGAGCTGAGAAAATCTATCATTAGGGATAAGTTTGGATTTTTTATAAACGTATCTCCGGCGATTTTGCGTATATTGGATTAAGCTTATGAGTAGTCATGCTGCACTAGAAACAACTGGATTCATTTATTTTTACCTTAGTTAATAAATTTACTAACCCGTGTCAGTGTATTGAGCATCAATGTTCTCAATGGGGTGTAGTATACAACTCACATTGCACTGTTTTATGCAGAATTTTGTACAAAAATACCCCCTTGCGATTTTCGAGACACATTCCATTGTTTGTGTGTTCTGCACAACTCTACATGGGTAGTGTATAGATGTCATTTTTACTCCTTTTCACCTAGGTTTCACCAAAAAGGTGAGATAGACAGGTTTGGGGGTAATAAAAGGAGAAGTAAATTAAAGGGGAATGTCAGATGTAGTTTTACTTGTAAAAAACATCGAAAACCTCATTTCATTTATAGAAACGCTCCTTAGGAAGTCATCTTCACAGACCAGTGAGCGCAGCGGCGTTGTTGTAGATACCTGCCGTGCTCGATTTCAGCGGCTTCAAGACAGATACCACCTTTTATTATGTCGTTACAAAATTGTAACCCATGTTGAGATCGACGGAACAAGCTTGCCAGGCAATGGGGTAGGAGGTCCATCGTTTCAGAGCATCACAGATGCGGGGATTACCAAGGAGGAGCCTTGTGATGAGGGAAAGTCTACCTTTCCATGTGAACCCCATTCCAATAGTCCTTGTTCTAATTCTGATGGGTTGCATATTAACTGCCTCGTGAGGCTCCCCGGATCGGTTTCCGTTTTTCCCAATTCTGTGTTCGATAACGAGGCTGGCCCCACGGCTGGTAGGGAGTCCCCTTTGTCAGTTCGAACGAATGAGACACCACCGTTGGGGTCATCAGCCCTCAACTGCGGTGGCTCGGGCTGTGGTGACCTCTGCAAGCCCACAGATAATGGCGGAGGTGGGAAGGATAGTGGGAGGCGGCCGATGAGCCCGTCCCTCCGGCCTGATTTGCCAACCTCTGCTGCAGAATTCATAAACGCGGGCGGAGAGCCCCGTAACGGCCCCTCCGATGACGGGCTGGAAGGGGACGCTCCAAAGGATACGGGCACTCGCCCGAACGCCCCACTTCAGACGCTGCTGCAGCACTTCGTGGCCTTCAAGGCAGGTTCCACATGGCGGCGATTCAAATCGCTTCCAATACCGGAGCTTGCAATGGTAGGTGACGCACTGCATTCACCGTCAGGTTACCTCAGGGATCATCGACGCACCGCTGCCGCTGAGCATTGCAGTGTCCGGGCAAATGAAAGGCCCATAGGCAGTCAACTCCGTACTTCTTCTAGCGAGGATGCCTCGGTGGGGGCATGGCAGGGACATTGTGCTGGTTGTCTGAGTTCTCTCGACGCCCAATCGGTGATCTGGCGGCTCCTGAAATTTTCTTTCCGCGGAACAGCGTGGTTCTGTCATTATACAAAACGGTACTACTGCCAAGCCTGCCATCATGGGGAGGTTTCACCGATCCCATCACGGCTATTGTGGGAGTGGGATGCGACCCCGTTCGCGGTTTGTGATGCCGTAAAGGATTTCTGGGTGCGGTACCAGGATAAGCCACTCTTTGCGGTAGGGGCAGTGAACCCAAGCTTATATAAGAGGGTCCCGGCGCTGGATATTGCCTACGCCCTACGAGTACAGATCCACGCGCTGTGGGAGGTCTGCATTCCATGTGCGGACTTTCGTCGGCTTTTCTATGGGGATAGTGTCACGGATGCACGGGACGGCGAGGCGGAGGCGGCGTGCTATGTGCCATTAGGACAGCGGTATTACCTGGAAGACATGGAGCTTTGGTCTTTTGCGGACTTACTGGAGTTGTATCGTTGCTGTCCCGGGCCGCTCCATCCAAGGCCGAAGTCGCTGCCGTGTGAGACGAGATCCCCCCCTGCGCGGTCGCATGATGGGATGGAGGTGGGACTCCAATATTTCTCCGAGGAGGATGAGGAGCGACATGAAAGGCTCGCCCTAGCACTGAGCCATACCACAAACGCCGGCCCGCCAAGGCAGGCTCAGGACCACCGCCAGGGGCATCTCTGTATCCCGCGCGACCGCAATTCGATGCGTGGCGACAGCGATGCTGCAGGGCTTATCGCCGATGCCCTACCTTCACTGGCGCTGGTTTATGCATCTTGCAGTGTACTCCAGATACTACACCGTGTACGCCAAGCCATAAAGTGGCACTTATTTCAGCAATGCTGTGATGTTTGCGGCTACAGTCGTGGTTGCACGACCTGTCAGCGGCATGCTGCGGATGTGTGTCGTCTGTGTTGCCCTGCTGACATAGCTGAGGACTTTCTATGTTCTCAAGTGTGTGAAGTAGTGGGGGAGCCGGAAGCTCCAAAGCGAAACCAGCGACCCCAGGATAATCCTCGTGAGCAGCGTGAACGAGACACTTTTGCTTGCGGTAAGCACCGTTGTGGGTGTGGTAATTCCAAGAGCGACTGCGATAGGAGCTTTCTGAGTAGACTTCCTGAGGCTGTGCTACCCTTTTTTGTTTTATCGATTGATATCCTTCATATACACATCTGTCCCCGATGTGGTGCCTCCTACCACAAGCGCTGCTGGCGAGACGCCGTGTCTAGAGGCATCTCAGATCCTTGTAAAGTATGTGAGATTTTGCCGGACTTCACGACGCGTCAACAGGAGAGAATGAATAGTGAAAATAGAACCTGAGGAACGAAGTATATTATCATTTTATCATAGAGACAAGGGGCATGTATCATTGAATCTTTGTTTTCCTGACAGATTATAGTTTTCCTTCTCAAGATTCTGTTATAGTGACTTTATCTTTTGTTTTTCCTTTAGTATTTCTATCGTTAGTCGTGGCGAGGCAACGTAAAGAATATATGAGGTAGAATGAAGTAGGTGCTTATAGGAGATTGTATATTGTGTACAGATGGTGGTATAAATTGCTTATCTCAAAATGACCTCTTCTGATAATTGTGTGATCAATTATGTCAATTCATTTATCTAATATGCTTTATGCTTTAATTATCACCAATCTATTTCCTTTAATTTATTACTATTATTAATCCTCTTAATGATGGTACATATTTCCTCGGAAGGGGTTAGACAAAATAGGATACAGTAAGTAACGCATACAATATTCACAAGCAAAGGAAGCTCTATTGTGTAGTGAAGGTTTGTCTCCTGTGTGTCATACTCGTAATACATACACCAAAGGAGGTGTCATATCACTCTACACAAATTTTATCCTTCTCTCTCCATATATACATATATGTATATATAAGCATCCTTTTTTTCCCAGGAATACTGATTATAATTTCGTTTATTGACGTGATTATTTTGGCACTAAACGATAATGAGGCACCAGACACTCACTTGCAAGAGTTCAGGCAGGGATATTTCGATTGGTCGTGGAGTTGGGAATAAAAAAAAGAGCCGACCAGCATCAAGTGTTTCTCTAAATGTGGACGCGGATGCCAATATGGGCACCCCACTTCGTTCTATCAGATCACCTTTACCCCGTTGCATACCGTCGCACAACGAAGGAGAAGTACGTAAAGAAGCTCAAAACACTTTGAACCTTGAGCCTCTATATCTGAATGACGTAAAGCTGCCGACGGGGCCCGAGGAGGGCATGAGGCCTGCTGGTTTAGACGGCCTTAAATTTCCGAGCCTTGAGGAAGAGGGAGCGAATTGCCGCACGACATCTGATCAGGGGGGAGGGGACACCGACAGAAAGGTAATGATCACGGATGACGTTTTGCATAGCATTTTCCAGAGGCTGAGCGCGTTAGAAGGAGCTGCTTGCGAGCGGAAAGAGATGAACGAATGGGATAACCCCAAGACACCTTCCTGCTCGCTTATGGTGGGGCTTCCGCCTGAGAAGGAGGATAAGCATTATGATAGTGGGAGTAGTATGCCACAGTTTGTGAATGGGATCTCGAGCACACTAAAGCAAGTTCCATCTCTAAGTGCGTCGGTGCTGAGCATCCCTTCACGTTCATCGATGCGCTCGTCACTTACGGCAGGGTGCACAAGGACACCGCCAGTGGATTCATCTTCGTGCAATGAGGCGACCGAGGAGAGTGACGGCGGGGAAAACGAATGGGTGAGGGTTTCGAACGTCGGAAAGTCGTCCAACTTGCGGCAAAACTTTTGCAAAGGCATGAGTCTCAGCTCGGTCTCGCTTACGCTCACCCAGGAGATCGCTAAGGTAATGCTCCAGATGCGGAAAATGAGGAAACGCACCAAGACTCTTGGTCGTGGACTACGAGAGGAGGTCCGAAGGCGCGAGCTGCTGGAGCGAAACACTTCTCACGTCATCCACCATCTCTTTAAGCTCGTCCGATTCCTTGAGCAGAGAGTATGCTCCTCTAGTGCGAGTCATAGTGAGGGCAAAGAAATTCCAGCAGGTGAAGGGGAGGGGGAGCAACAGATCTTGATGTCCCTCTTGAACACCGACGTAACCGCGACTACGGACCTTTCTGCGTTACCGACTTTGCACGAGTCCAGATGCCCTTCAAGGGAATCACTGTTTAATCAATGCCCATCTACGAAAGGCGCCGCGCTCCCGCTCTCTGGTATCAAGCCTGAAGAGAAGGGCAACGAATTTGGGGGAAATGGCGAGGTGGTTCGTGGGTTAGCAGCTCACCAATACCCCACGGGACCCCTTCCACCCATGCCGTGCACATCAGGAGCCAAAAGCCGTACGAGTGCGCTTCTATTTCCTGATACGCTCGACGACGGTAAAGCCAGCCGCAACGACGCTTCCCAAGGCAAAGAGGGTTACCAAAGTGAACCTCAAACAGGTGATTCATACGACGTGTGCCTTCGGTCGAAGCAAGAGGATCCCACTTTACTAGGAGGGACCCAGAAGCTGCCTGAGGAGTCCTTCCAACCATTACCGATGCTCATGGATGGGAGCGTTGCGGGTACTTACAGCGACTTCCCGAGTCTTAACACCACCATGCATTCCTCTGAGCTGAATAACCGGGGTCTCCCTCGCGTCGAGCCTCCCTTAATGCAGCGAAATGGCCGCCGGAACGTGGTCATCGAGGTCCCCACCTCCATCGCCGAGGAGGAGATCACGTACTTCCACGTCTCCCACCACCGTCCGACCCCTGTAGTGATCGCGCCCCCTGCCGTCTTGGAGACCCTGCAGGACCCCCCTGGCGGTGATCGAAACGCCAATCGCAGGCAGGGTAGGTTTAAGATGGGTGCCTCCTGGGCTCCGAGCGGCCGGCGAGCCCCGGTTCGCGTCTCCTGCCCCCTCCCTTCGCGTGGAAGCTACACCGGCAGTGAGAATGGGGCCGCTGGGAAGGGAACCTGCCATCGCACCGCCAGCATCTCCACGGGCCTCACGCAGACCATCTCGATGGAGTCGTTGGCGCCATCGCAGGCGCCCAACGTCCGGAAGCGGTCGCTCGCCACCGACGCGATGGAGCCTTTTCCGCCCTCGAAGCTGAAGATGCTTACGGAGACGGCGTCGTTTGGGGCCTGCAACCCACCTTTTGTCCCTTCAAACTGGGATCGCGGGCCTCTTGAGGGGAGTGAACTGGTGACAGGCATTCGTCATGATGAGGCACTGACGCTGCAAAGTTCTTTAGATTCCTTGGATGGTGTGACTTCCCATGCCCTGAACAGATTATCTGATCCCTTTCCCCCTGAGAGTCCATCCGATCCCTCTGGGAGTATGGACGGGGTGCGACCTGAGGATGATTCCAATCCCACCGCACCCGGCAACGCAAAGGAGGAAGAGAGGGGCAAGAAGGATGGTTTCCCCCCTGCTGTGGCTCTCAGCGAGACACTCCCGTTGCCACAGTTCGCACCGATCTTGTATCGTCCACCGGTTAGCACCCTAAAGTGCGATGATGGCAACGATTCATTTTTGGTTTCCTTTCCAGAATACCCCATCATGTCACCGCGCGGTCTGCTCAAATTGCCGAAGGATAGTAAGCTTAGCGGAGCTACCAAGTCTAAAAATCGCAGCACGCCTTCCTTCCCCTCATCGGTGCGCATTACACAGCTGTCAACTCCGAAGCTAGGTGAGATTAAGAGTCCTAATGAAACCAACGAAAGCAAGTCTATTTTGAGGGCTTTTCAAACTATTAGCCACATTCACGAAGACACGCCATCGACGCTGATGTCGTTACGAAAGTAGCCTTCCTAATTTTCCTCTGCCCCTCATCTCCAAGAGGTACAAGATGGGGGGTATACGAAGTATTTCAAAAAGAAAAGGTCTGAATAGTAAATTCGGGATGACATGCAGTCTTGAAGCAGTCAACTCATAGAATTGAAAACACCAGGCTATTGTCGGAGCACATATACACACACACAGATATATATATATATATATCGTCAGCCAAATGGGTTGACATAAGGGATTATGAGTAAATGTTCTGTCTTATTTAGGACCAACTCAGGGTAGGGTTTATTTATTTTTACCCGGATGCATATAGTGCTGATTTTTTCCCCACCATTCCTCAATGTACGTTCGCGCATATTGATTCATCCTATACCAGAATGTCTTTGATAGTCTTAGGCCATTCTGTAGTTCTCTATAATTATAACTTAACTACCTCAACAGAGACATAGATCAATTTTTTTTTTCGAAAAACTACGAGCATCCTGCTCTATTTTTTCCCTCGATTATTATTTATGCGAATTATTTTTGACACCACATTTCTTATACGTTTTTTTCTTAAGCATTGTCCGTTTCATTTTATTTTATTGTTTTACTATTTTAAATCTAAATTCTATAGGAATGAGGAATTGTGGTTATTAACCTTTGTAGACATTTTAAAAGGGTGCTCCTGAACCCTTTTGTATACGTGATATGCGTATAAGCACATACACGTAAAAAATAGTATCAGTGCTTTTTTTTGTCCTATTTCATGTTTATTACTATTATTCTTCCAGCGCCTGTTCGTGCGTTACCTTTGAGCGCCTTTTGAATTGTCCTTATGCCTTATTTGTATTAGTGGTATGTGTACTGCTGTCTTTTCCTTCTAAATAGTTGCGTGATCTCGATTTTTTTTGAATGTTAATCTCGTTGCCACAGTATGCTATGAGATGTTTTCCATACATATGATATTTTTTATGTAAATACACGAAATAAATTAGGTAAACTCCCAAAAAACGATCGAGTGTCTGGATCATGTTACCAATGGTTATTCTCTGGTTGAGCTATCTTCATTTTTTCCCTCTTTAAAAGAAAAATGCATGTATTTAGTCGTCTGTTCCAGGTAGGCTGCTCTCCCTGACTTTCTTAACCCTTTAGCTTTCAGCGTATTACTTTACTGCGGTCATCTTCTTCCAGCTTCGATGCCAAAAAAATATGCCGGATGGGTTCTATTCTAATGTATATATACGTTTGTATTCAATGTCAATAGCTTGCTTAGAATCAATCCATACCATTAGCAGATTACCTTAAAGTCTTTTGCTAGGAGTTCAGTGACACATATTCGTTTGATGTAAATTTAGTGGAAGAATGACCTATTCCTTATGTATGCATGCATTTTTGAATTATGAGTAACTTTATTTTCATGAGTTTCTTATTTTTCACGCTAACTTTTGTTCCCCATGTACTCCCTAGAGGAATTAATCATTTGGATTTGTCTGCTAGTGTTGGATATGAAAAACTCTTCAGGATTCTATTTTTGCTGTTCCCCCTCCACTAAAGTGGACTTGTGTTCAATGTACCACGGTTCCATTTCCATTGAAACTTTTTTGTTTCAGTAATTGGGTTGGATTTTCGATGGATTGTCCAGTTTCTTGCTTGCCATCAGGATTTTGCCGTCTGAGAGGAGATATAAGTGTGCTATTCTCCAATGAGATTTTGATATGTAATAACTTGCCTTTACTTCGAGTCGCAAATTCAGCTCCGCCTTCATGTAGGGGGGGGGGCTCTTGCTGAAATGATATGTAAACAGTGTTTTATGGTATTTAATGTAATGAGTTCAAGCATGATTCAGACGAAAAATGTATAATCTAAGAAAAGAGCAAGCAATCAAAAAGGAGGTCGATTAGTGGATCGATAAAGTAGGGTAGAATGTGTCTTTTGTGTTTCCTTAGTGAACACGTTTACTATTTTCTGATATGTAATTATTATTTTTTATTAGTATGAATGAGCTTCAATCTCATACTTATTTTTATTATGCAATTTGGGCTAATATCATATATACATCGATTAATGGAGAGTTAAGCAGATTTGATTACTTTGCTTTATTTATTTTGTAACTTATTATTTCACCAAGTTTGTATTTCCCAAGCTTTTTAGTGAATTACACTCGATGCGTAAATCAGGAAGAGGAAATACTTTTGACAAATACTTTTTCCTTAGTTTAACCTTTGCGAATGCCAAGCAGTTTTATTTTCTATTACTAAAGCACACCCATACACACTGTGTACGCATCGGTGGAAGGGTACTTTGCTACTTCCACCCCCTACTGTTTTTTTCAATGAGGCAAATTTTGCCTACTTGTATTCCTATCCCACCGACGCTGGCTTTTCTTTTTATGAGAAATATGCTCTTGCAGATCTAGACGTAGTACCTACATATATCTACAGCTTTTTTTTAAAAAAAATAAAGAGCACCCCAGACTATGGCTTTGTATTTGATCCTTCTATTTGCGGTACTATTCCTGATCAAATGCTTTTTTTTGATCCGTGGTATGATGCGTAGCCGTGGAAAGGGAAAATCAGGAGAAGTGAAAAACAAGAAGTCTAGAAACGCACCGAAGACCCATGAAGTTCGACCTGCTCCCACAACCGCATTAACCACTGATTCTGATGACAGCAGTGATGGGGAAAATGGCAATCCCGCAGGCGCGCAGGTGCGATCCCAACGGGCGGCGCGAAGGGGTGAAACTGGGGGAATGCGGCAGCGTCGCCAGGCTCCTACGTGTCGGCAGGATGCGGGCGAGGATGGCGAACGACCAGATCCTACGGCATCGCCTGAGGAGGGGGGCGGTCGTCCGCGTGAGCCCCTAAGCCGTCTACAGCGGATGAAACAGGCAAAGGAGCGGGAGCGGGAGGCGCTACGCCAGGCCCACGAAGCCGAGCAGGTGGCTCGACGTCAAAAAAGGGAAGAGGCAACTCAACGGGAGGCGAAACGTGCCGAGAGTGAGGAGGAATGGGAGGCTCGAGAAAACGCCGCGTTGGAGGAGCTGCGAGAGGCGAAGCGGAAGCAGGAAGACGAGGAGTACGCGAAATGGGTTGGCCAGATCGCGGTCGACGAGCGTGGGGAGCTTCAAGAGGAAACCCATCGAAGACGCGAGGCGGTCGTCTCTTTTTTGATTCAGCATGCCAACGAGGTGGATGCCAGCGTTTCTGTGCATGGGAAGGGCCCCACAGCGACGTCGTTACCTGAGGATCACGGCCGTGAGGACGGCGTCGAGAAACCGTCGAACATCCTTGTGTTGCAGGATACCTCGCGTCAGTTACAGGTCTCCGTGGAGGAGCTTGTTTCCGTGATCGAGCAATTGATCCGAGAGGATCGTCTCTTCGGTGTGTTTGACGATCGTGGGAAGTTTGTCGTGATGTCGGAGCGGCACTTTCCAATGATCGCGAAGTTTATCACGCAGCGGGGACGCGTTTCAGTCACGGAGCTTGCACGAGAGTGTAATCGTATTATTTTGAATAGAGGATCGAAATAAGAATGAGGAGGGTGAGGAATGATACGGACTTCACGCAACACGTGAAGTGTAGTCATTGATGCATATAGAAGCTTCTTTTCAAGCAAGCTTCGTAAGAAACGTGACTTCATCCGAGCAAAGGGCTCTTCATAGTTGTCTGTGTATACGCACACGTTCGCTTTCTATGTTAAACTATTAGACGCCTGCTTTGTTTCTAAAGAAAATACTTATTATGACGTAAAATCATTTTGAGTTCATTTTATTTCCGAGTGGATATTTTTTCCCTTTCTTTTTTTCTCTCTATTTCTAGTTTTATCATTTTACATGGTTGCCATTGAGTTGAGCTTTGAAAATTTGAGCTGCCTTTGATCCCTTTGTAGGTTTACTTTAGCTTAACGAGTCCAGCGACGGCTAAAAAGAGGGAGGGGGGGGTGAAGTCAACTCAAGGCAAGTACGGAACAAAAAGGAAAGTTAAGTATGCAGGCTCAACATGAATCGGGCCCGGTGGAGGACTCTGCTGAGAAGGTGAAATACGCCGACTCTCTCGCTACCGATACGCATGGGACGAATCCCAATCAGAGTACCACCCCCCAAATCGTAGTTCTAGAAAATATAGAGCACCGCTATGTTGAGGTCATGCAGGAGCTCTCCGCGGAGCCGCGGTTCGAGCGGCTAAAGTTAGAGTACGAGCGTATCTACCGTCTGCTTAGCAAGAGCCACGAGGGCGAACGTCACTTGATGGAAAAGATAAAAGAGCTGCGCGATGAACTCAAGGATCACGAGAGCCGCATCGGGACCGCCCTGGAGCTATCCCGAGAGGATGCGCAGAGCATCGCGGCGTTGCGGAAGGAAATCGAAAAAGCCTGGGCGATGGCGGACATGGCGCACACTCGAGAGGTCGAGAGCCGAGAACTGATTCAAGTTCTCATGAAGCAAGTAGCGGATTTGGACGAGCAGGTGGAGCATAGTGCGGGGCTTTCCATCGGCCACGAGGTCGCCCTACGGAACCTTTTGCAAGCAAAGAAGGCCCGTGAGGAGGAGCATGCCACCTTGGTCTCGGATGGCACCCTCCTCAAGGCGGACCACACGGCCTACCTCAGTCGCATGCAGGACCTCAGTAGTAAAGAGGCCGCGACGCGGAAGGCCCTTGAGGCGAAAACTGCCACCTATCAGGCGTTATTAGCCGCGATAGAGGCCGAGCAACGCGAGCGCAGCGCGAAGGAGCAAAGCGCGAAGAACTACCGCAACATGACGGAGCAGCACGTACTGGAGGTGGAGAAGGTGAAGCGTGCGGTGGAGCAGCTCCTTGCCGAGGAGCGACGCCTGAGCAAGGATGTCGAGGCGGCGAAGGAGGGCACTACGGTGATCTTTCGGCAGCTCGAGGAGCGTCAGCAACAGATCAAGACGGAGGCCGATCAGCTAGCCGCGACCGAGCAGTACAATGGAACTCTGAAGGCGGAGCTGCTTCGGAAGACGGCGATCATGAAGGAGAAGCAGCGGGAGCTGACAAAGGCCACCAAGCGGCTTAGCAACACCGAAGCCACGGCGCGCGATCAACAAGAGCAGATGAACAAGCTCGTGCAGGAGCGAGATGCGCTTATTTTGCGATCTAACGAGAACAACGAGACCCTCGACGGGCTCATGAAGGAGCTGATTCATGAGGAGGCGAGGATTCAGGGGGTGGAGGGGGTCATGCGAGGTGTCATGCTTCGTAAGACAAAGGCGTTAGCGGCGAAGTCCGTGAAGGAAAACAGCCGAGCGGAGGTCCAAGGGGTGCAGGTCCTTGAGGAGGGCAAGGTCCGGCGACTTGAGCAGGATCTATTTGCCTACCTACAAAGCAATGAGCAGCTTCGTAAAAAGGTGTTCGACCTCGAAAAGAAGAAGGATAAGCACTTTTCCGCAGTGCAGGCTGCCACAGTGGAGTACCACCGGACCCTGGATGCTATCCGCGCCAAACGCACGGAGTTGAAAAGCCTCAAAGAGCACTATGCGATGCTCGAGAAAAAGCATAAGGCGCAGCAAGAGTTGGTGAACCGTGTGAAGGCAGACCGCAATCGTGCGGAGAAGCAACTACGTGAGATGGAGACCGAGCGGGCGGAGCTGATGGCCCATCAACAGGCAAAGCAGGAAACCATTGACGCTATCAAAAAGGAGCTTATCCGGACGGAGACGGATTTCCTCCAGCTCCACGCCGTGAACAAGCAGCTCCGATACGACATGACCAACACCGAGGAGCGCTTCAAACACGTGCACGAAGACTGCATGGAGGCCAAGTCGCGCGTTGCCGCGTTGGAAGGGGAGGCCATGGAGCTGGAACAGGTCATCGCCAAATGTGATGCGGAGAAACAGAAGCAACTTTACAAACTCAAGAAGGTCACGAACGACTGCAATATTCTTGCGACGCAGCTCATCTGCAAGAATGAAGAGGTAAGCTTGATCTACGACAAGGTTCGTCTACAGGCCAGCGATTTAGTGAGCAAAGCCGCAGACTATGACAGACGCGTTGACGAAATCATCGATACGCGGGATCGTCTCGCCGAGCTGCGGCTGCGCTGCCGGCGCAGTCTCGTTCGGCTGCACTACATGGAAAAGATCAAAAAGAAGACTATCAAGTACCAGCGTGAACTCAATCAACAACGTGCGCACGTGCGTGCCCTCACCGATGAGGTGCAGAACTTCGTCAATATACATCGCTGGCGGCGGTTGGAGGGTAGCGCGCCGATGCTCCTCGACGCGCTTGCCCAGGTACAGCTCCTTCAACGTAGCTATATCGAAAAATCTAGAATGTGTGTGGAGCTAACCGAAGAGATTAGGAAAAAAGTGGACGAGTACACGAAGCTGCGCAGCCGTCTGGCGCGCATGCCCGGTCCCGAGGCGATGGAGGATCTCGCGCTATTTCAGGAGAACATCGAAAAACGTGATGAACAGCTTCACGTCATGTTCAGCGAGCTTCGAGACCTGGAGCAGCACGCGGAGGTTCTCGAGGATGAGGTGCGCACCCTGAACGATGAGCTCGCCGAGGCCAAGAGGAAGTACTACGATGAAAAGACCAAGCAAGACTTCTACTGGCGAGAGGCGCTTCAGTGGCGGCAAACCTGGGGGAGCTCCACGGCCGTCGCGCAGCTCGCCCGCGAGACGATCGCGGCGGCGACGAACCCTTCCCCTGCGGAGCGGAATCGCGGGGAGCCCCATTCGGCAGGGGGGGAAAGTAGCCACCCTACAATGTGGAATGCCGGATTAACCTCAAGCGGACCCCTGGCGCCATCGCGGCGTTCCCCGGCATCCGCGCAGCAGCGAATCCTCTCCCATGGGGGGAAATCTTCCCCAGGGATGGGAGGGCGACTCGTCGGTGGGTTCACGCGACGTGAGCGCGCGTACGCGCGGGAGGAGGATCTCCTTCACGTCCTTTCCACCGGCGTTCCCGGGCCGAATTTTAGGCTTCAGAAGCCGAAGAATCAACGACAGTTTGCCGGAGGGGGGTTTGCGCTGACGCGGTGAGGCCAGGGATGGGTTCCATCGGCAGAGTCGTGTGGCAGGAGAAATGGGAAAGGCGATGGGGTCGCTTTCAACGGGCCGCGCGGGAACTTCCACCACTTCAATGGGTAAAACCAGGAAGAAGAATATGCAGAGGGAAGAGGAATATTTGTTCCCAACTCCTTCCTTTTACAGACTAATATACCAGCCGTGAGATGCATGATCGGGTTGTATGTCAACGACGCCTTTTTCATTTCTTTAGAATACACACATGCATACATATATGCATTTATTGTGTGTACATGTGCATGTAAATGTAAATTATTGATTATTCATACCTTCTTCCCTCTAACGTGGGAATTTTTGTGGAGCCTATTTCTCCGCTTGAAGCTATATTACAAAAAGAGAATGTATATGCACGTATATATATATATATATATATATATACCAACGCCATCCGTGGTGGCTTTGGGAGGCATGACTATGAAATATGTGGCAACATCGTGATAGCAATGTAGATGACCATTGACTTTTCTAGCCTTTAGATGACCTCCTTTCATCTTTTTTTTCTGTGTTAGATTTTTGTCCTGCAATATTTAAATTCACAAGTGATTGAAAAATTGCTAGAGTTTGAATAGCTGAGTGTATTGCGGGCTTTCACCGCCCGAGGAATTACCTATCTATGTGAGATGACGACAAAATTTCCTTTTGGGGCTTTACGCGCCCCTTTAGGGTTTAGACCTCGTGATCGTTACTCCCCAATGCGTCCGTGTGTCTTCCGCTGTATATCGCACCTACCCCCGAACGGTGCCGTGAATCCGCGCGGGGACCCTCGCGATGAACCCACCTTTGGGGTGTTTAGTGGGCAACACATCAAGGAGTTTCCCGTTCGCGCCGCGATCGATATCGGAACTGGTGGGGTGATTTCGCTCTGCGTGGCTCGCGTGGATGCCGCGCGGGCCGCTGTGCGGGATGTAATGTATCAAACGCAGCTCCCACTCTGCCTGGAGTCGGAAGGGGGTTGGGAGGCGGCCTCCTCGGGCGGGCTGCCGACGAGGCCGTTCACCCTGAGCAGTCGGACGTGTGTGGATATTCAAAATAAAATGACAACGCTGAGTGGTGCGATGCGGCGGGATGTGTATGACGGCCTTAGCGAACGCGCGGCGGTTTTATCGTGGCCGATTTGCCTCGCTGAAAATGCGGAGCAGCTGGCGGCGGACCTGACGCGGGAATTTAAAATCGACGTCCGCGTGCTTGGTAAGACGTTTCATGTCGAATGGCCGTTTGGAAGCCAAGGGAAGGCGAGAATGGGAGCCGGGAACGAGGACGGGGTTCAGGGGGTAGGGAAGGGCCGTAAAGCCGCATCCGAATTGGCTCCTCGAGGACGTCATCCGGGAACGGATCGTGCCGTGCGAGGGGAGGGGAGTGATGTGGATGAGGGTGAAGACGGCAACAGCCTTCGTCGACTACTTCAGCGGGCCTCCGCCGCGAAATTGTGGCGACGGTCGTCTTCTCGCGAGATGGATGCCCCTGAGGGTGAAACCCCCCGCCATTCCCATGGGGTCCAGACGAAAGGGATGGATGCGTCCATGGTTTTTTTGGCGAGGGCGCAGGTCGCGCAGCTTGCCTTTCTCGCCCATGCGACCCTCAGTCGGTGCGTCGTGCCGCAACGCCTTTTGGTGATCGACGAGGACCCGCAGAGGGGGTTACGTCTCTTCGGGGTTGACAGCACCGCGGCGGAGGACGTGCGGGATATCCTTTCCGCCGCCGACGACTCCCCGCCAGAAGAGAAGGCGTCGGTGTATAAAAAAGCCCTGGCGTGGTGCGATGACGGGAATGGTGAGCAGACTGCGGAGGAAATTCCGGCGAAGGATGCGGTTTTGGCGCCAGCAAACCCTGGGGATGGGAATGGGTTGCTTGAGTTTCGTCTACCTGTTGATGTTGCGCAGGCGCATCGATATAGCGTCGTGGAGATCCAACGACGGGATGCCGCGAGCTATCATCTGCACGGTAGCAGCCCAAATCCGATGCTCGCGACCGAGTGGGCTTCGTTGTGCTCGATGCTGGAGCGGCTGATTACGCCAACCCTCCCAAAGTGGGTGCGGCGGAAGTCCGGATTAGGTGGAGTCATCGCGGGGACGAGTTTCAACGGTGGGATGCTCAACCTCGCCGCTCGGGTATCGCAGCGGATGCCCATCTCGCTCGATCACCTCGAGGTCCATGCGCAACATCATTTTTGCGGGCTGACGGATGTTTTGTTGACCGCGAACTTTCCAAATCCGCTGCTGGTGTTGCCTAGTGTAGCCCTCGCGGCGGCGTTGATGCGGGCGCTGCAGACACCGCGTATATCTTACCTTCCGGAGCTTTCGATCGCAGCGGCGCTGTTGACGCAGCCGTCCCTTTGGATTTATGAACGCCGGCGCACTGTTCGTGAAGCGCTCTCACGCTACGAGTACCATCAGTCCATGCAGCATCGATTCTTTCCTAGACCACATATTAAAAGTAATCCAACAGCCGCACCAAATGCGGTCTGGGGACCCCGAAAGAAGCTCTAGGGTAGGGTATGTGGCTGCACAATGCTTATGTGCTTCTCGATTTTTTGTTACTGTGATCATTGGATACTAACTACGCAGTGGTTATCGCCTCGACCATTATTACTACTGTTTTCGTTGGGGCTCATGTGGAACTCTGTGTCGAAAAGGAGTGCAGTTCTTCCTCCCAGAGCGCTGTTCTTTTCTGTTTCTTTCGAGGGCATGATCACAGTAACATTCCATGGTGCTTCGGTAAGCCGCTTTCAGAAATGGCAAGATTTCCTTGATTAGAAAGTGCTAGTCTGCAACCTAACCACTGCGCTGAGAGGAGAAGGTATGGAAGATAAAATAACAATACATCTAGATTGAACCGTTAAATTCATATTTTATTTATTAAGTACTGCTGTAGATGTTTTAAAATGTCCCTTTGTTCCCCTTGATTCGACGTTTTAAAAGCTTAGCGTATCGTAGGAGGTGAAGTCGAACATATACTTTCGATTTCAAACATTATACAGGGACATACTACCAAAATATAGCATAAATACATAGAGATATTCATTGATTTCTCTATACTACAAATAAGAGACTACTAGAGTTATGGATTCTAAGACAAGGCCATCCGATCAGACCATGTCTAATAATAAGGCAGATATGAACAGGGAGGTGAACGTTATCACCGATGAGACCTGTAGTTTTGAGGGAGACATTGCCGAAACATTATTTAGGGCCGTGAACGATGCGTCGGAGAGTATTCCAGAGAACACGGCAAACGGTTACCATGAGAAGAACAGCAACAGCACGCCTGCTATAAAATATGACGGAAATTTAAATGAACTACCAATTCAGGGCTTGATGGATGACAGAGGTATGCATGACGCTCAGGAATCTAGGGAGATGAAAGTAGTAGTTGATATGGACAATTTAGGTGAGTCGAGCAGACCACAGTCGCCCGTCCGGCATCGCAAGAACCGTTCCACAAGGCCTATTGGAGATCTACTTGATACAAGAGAAGCTAATGGAAACCTCAGCAGTACACATTCCCTCCTCCCCCTACAGAGTCTTGATGAGCTGGGGCGCCGACCGGGCACTGCAGGGGATCAAGCGTGTAGTGGTATTCAAATAAATGAGATGATTAGCATGGAAGAGGATATAAAGAAGCCGATCGAGTTGGTTGTGGATTCATCCAAGATCCCCTTCCAGCCCGCGACCAAGGCGCCGACCCCCTTCAGCCAGAAATTAGTCATAACGTCTACGCCTGAGCCTTTAGAGTCGGACCTACCGTCTATGCGTTATCCCGCCCCGGCCTCCCTCCCGGTAACCCTTCTTGGGGTTAGCACCGACCTACGACGGAAGCGGATCAAGAAGGTTAGCAATTACATTATTGGCGCCCTACTCGGCGAGGGCACCTATGGTGTTGTGCGGGATGGGTTAGATATCTCCGGTGAGCGTATCTTGCGCTGCGCGGTGAAGATGTGCAACGTCAGTTCCGGGTCGACGACCGGTGCGAAGGAGAGACCCGCGCTGAAGCGCACCGACCACGCCGCCTACCTCCGCCAAGTCACCCGTCGAGAGACCGCGAATCTTCAACGTTTCCACAGCCCTTACATCGTCCGCGCCCATGACATCTTCACGATGAACGGGAAGGAGTATATCATTTTCCCGATCGCGATCTGCAGCCTGGAGCAGCTGGTGCAGTACGCGCGGCAAGGGGCGTCGGCCAAACCCCCCGCGACCCTCCCGGAAGCGGCCCCGGTCGGGGCCCCCCCCCCCCCGCCGCGGCGGACGATGGGGTGAAGGGTCTCGATCCGAGCGCTTCCCCTGCAGAGGAGACCATCAGCACCGTCAGCTACCATAGCGGGAGCACCCAGGACTACCGAGGCCCCTTACGTGGCCGCCACCCGGGCGGCGAGGACCCCAACCACGTCCTCCACCTCTCCGACGAGGCGCCGTCAGCCCCCACGTCGGGCTCGGAGGACTCCCGGTCTGTTTCGTTCTCGGTGACTTCGTGCTCATCCACCTCATCCGCTTCGAGGTCCACCGGCGCCTTGACGAATGCGTGCGCAAGCTTCCATACGGAGGCCCCCCGGGAAGCCGGTAGCCACCTGTCGTCTCCTTTCTTGAATCCCGAAGACGAAGGCTCGAGGAGCTTCCCACAGCACAGCGGCCCCCCTCGAAGGGAGCCCGAGCCGCTTCTTTCCGCGATGCTAATCAGGGGCATCATGTTCCAGATCCTCTCTGGCGTCAACTACCTGCACTTGCAGAATAGTGCACACAACGACATCAAGACCTCGAATGTTCTCCTTTTCGAGGATGGCTCCGTAAAACTGACAGACTTGGGAAGTGTGGGAGAGCACTACGAAGGGTATGGCACCCCGTTATACGCCGCACCAGAGCTGTGCAAGCATTTCTATGGCTTACTGCAAGGGAATTCCAGTGACGACGAAAAGAATAGTGGCATGAAAGAGGGAGATTTAGATGGTGAACGCGGCAATGTCGCGGGCCGAGGTCAGGGACCACGCAATCAAAGACTGTTTGGGATCGACGCCAAGAAGTGTGATATGTGGTGCTGTGGTCTGGTCCTTTACAAGCTTCTCACCGGCAAGGACGGTCCATTGCCAGTACACCAAAAGAACTATTCTGGGCGATATAAAGATCCCAACAGCGACCTTGATGATAATGGTGTAACCCCTCTGTCGCCGATCAACTGCTTTCAACTGTATTATGAAATAGCTTCCCAAGAAAAGCCTGTGTGCTTAGATGATCTTCCAGACCTCATCATTGAAACCGTGGGGGCCGCACGGGTGCCGGTGAACGGCTTCGCGGGCAAATACCCACCCAACAGCGTCCGTAACCTCCTCGAGGGACTTCTGGCGATCGAACCAGACAAGCGCCTCACCTCCCAGGAAGCCCTAGCGCACCCGTGGATCACATCGTTATTAGAGATCATCCAGGCTTCCTCTGGACTGAGGCGGCCGCCGAACTCCCACGAACACGGCGGTCAACGGGGATCCGCGTGGCGCTCCGTGGAGGAGGCCATCCGACGCGGCATCGCCCACGAGGTGCTGCAATCGCGGCAGGTACGGAAAATCCTCAAAAGGGACAACGAAAGCCACCTCCAGTTTGTCGCGGACTGCTGTAATATCCTGAACGTCAACATCCCAGATGAGGTCTTCAAGCCCTTCGGTACCGAGCCCTATGAGAACAACTACTACAGCGGGATGTGGGGAAGGGGCGTGAGCGTGCCGCGACCGCAGAGCTCCTCGGCCGTTCCCACCGCCGCGGATGGGGAAGGCCAGGTAAGAGAGGCCGTGATGGGCACCTTAGTCCGCCCCAACCTCCCGAGGGTGATGCCGCGGGGCTGTGTGGACCCCCACCTCTTCCTCCCTTTCGACGAGGCCAACTACTACGAGCGGAAGAGCGGGAAGAAGGGCTTTGACGTCCGGTGCCTGCTCGGGCAGACCTCCAAGGTCGCCCGGCTCGAGGAGTACCTCCATAACGTCGTTTTGGTGAAGTGTGGCTACCGGGAGGGGCCGGATCCGGCCTTTGAGGCCGCCGCCCGCGGGGCCCTCGGCTTCCTTCCTCGGCTGCGTTACCACCTCGGCTCTCTCGGCAGTGAGGTGGGCTGTCTGTACAGCACCCCATCGCAGAGTATCGCGCCGACGATGGTCTTCCGGAGTGGTCAACCCCGCGGCTCTCCTAGTGGGGAGGCTTCTAGCCGGTCATTATTGTTACCTCATGCGCATGAGGATTCTAAACACGGTGGGGCCCGCGGTTCAACTTCCACGACGGCCCTTCGACCCCAACCCACCCAGGGGAGGGAGGGGGAACGACAGCACATCGCGGCAGGGATCGTCATGACATCAGGCCCCCCGGGCAACACTGGGAGGAGAGGGGGAGGAGACGCGGGTACCCAACGAGGGGCAGCGAATGAGGCTCGTCAAATCATCAACAGACAGCGGGTCACCTCTGGGGTGTATCAGGGGTCTGAAAGGGAAGGCATCGAGGCTGCCGCGGAGAGCTCCAAGTGCTTCTGTGGGTTAGGGTAATCGAACGTCATGTGATTGATCGAAATGTCCATCGGAATTTAATCCGCGTTTTTCATACTCTCACCCTTGGGGGGAGGGGGGTAAGAGTCGAGGAGTGAGATGGGGGTAGTTAGCATCAGCAGTGGAATTAAAATTGTAGTAGTCTTTTACAAATTACCCTGATCCTATACATCGTTCTTCGGAAAAATGACAACTTGCAATCTTCTAGGAGCAAAAGATGTGATGCATGCAAAATATCGTGATAAATAGTCTTTTTATCTTTTACTGTTGGCCCAGAGCGAGCCCTCCCCTTTCCTATGCACATATTGATTTTGTTTATTTATCTATTTATCTACCTACGCGGATATGCATATATATATATATATATATATATATATGAATATAAGTAAATAGGAGATTTGTTTGTTACTTAGCTTGCTGCAGTGCCTATATATCTTTTCGTGCAATAAAGAGGGAGGGGGGAAAGGAGTAAAAGCAATATTTTCTTTCTGGTGCTCATTCATCATAATATATTACTTGGCATAGTGCTTTTTTCAAAAGGTGGATTCTATCTTATTTCATAGATGCTCTCCTTTGCAGTGCTATTAACTTATCTGGCGACGTTTGCTTATTTGTGATCTGCTTTCTTTTTATAGTCTTTTTGTGATCTTTATGCTTTCACACAATTTATGATGCTTTTGTTGCAATGCACACCATTTTCTGTGATTTGGAACAAATCGTATAACTAAGGCAATGGTGGTAAAAATGTAGGATTGAAACCGTACGATGCAAACAGTTTGTATGAGCTTTTCATTACTCCAAGAGGTTTCATGCATAGCAAATGTTTGATGGTTTAAAGAGAAACATTGTGCATATTCATTACCATTTCTATTCCCTCATATATATATATATATATATATATATATATATATATATGTATA